TGGGCAGTTTGGTGGTCTCCCTGTGCCGCCCTCCACTCCCCAACTGACCTCCTGACTCTCTCTTGAGCACACAGAGCATGTCCTCTTTCTCCCAGGTCTAGTCACAGGCCACCCCCCTCATGGAACCCTTCCTTGGTCCCCCAGAGAGAAAAGAGCCTGCTGGGGCTAGAGGAGAAATAGTCTGTCTGTCAGTGTCTGGGTCCCCCCACATTCCCCATCAGTTCCTTGAGGCTGGGAACGTGGTATATAGTGGTCGTGGTCACTCTTGTGAGGGCAGCCAACTGTCCCCAAGTGAGTCTCAGGGCCGCCCCCCCCGCCTGCTCTCTCCCCTGGAACCCTATTGTGCCTGGGCAGGCCAGTGCCTGGTGCCGTCCACAGCCATACTGAGCAGATACACTCACCCAGTTGACCTGGGACTGATGACATTTAGATACAAAACACTGGAAGTTCTGTGGCAGGCAGGAACCTTATTGGGGCTGAGAACGAGGTCCCTCACCCATGACACCTTGAACTGGGAGCCCAAGGCGGGCACATCTGGGCCTTAGCTTATATGCCCAACTCCTTGGCTGTACAGTGGGGACAGCAGCACAGCTCATAGCACAGGGGAGAGTACAGGGTGCACATCCACAGCCCTGCACAGGGCCCAGCCCTTACACACAGGAGCTGCCCTCACCTGCTCTGGGAAGGCAGGAGAGCACCAGGAGGAGGCTTGGGCTCCCACCAGATGCAGTGGGGTGTGAGGCCTGCTGCCAGCCCTCAGCCGTCAGCGCAGTGCTATCCTGGGAGTATCATCCACTTCTCTGAGCTCCATTTCTGTGTGTTCCATAAACTTACCTCCCAGTTCCATAAACTTACAGTTGCTGAAAGGAGAAAGGGAGGGGACTTGCTCCTTCATCAAGTATTTACTAAGCACCTACTACATGATGAGGTGTGCTCCTAACAGGCAGGCATGGGACCTGCCCTGAGGGGGCCAGACGTGACACAACACAGACAACTGTTCCCAGCAGTGAAAGGAGCTAAGGAGGTGTTGGGTGTGATGAGTGCATCTAACGGGGTGCCTGGGCTGGGGAGTCACCTACAGACGGTGCCTGTTTCAACAGCCCACAGTATGGACCATCATGTTATTATTAAGAGAGTATTCTATTAATCTTTTATTATTAATACTGCTGGAAAAAATGATTACATACTATTAGTGAGTCTCAGCAAAGGAGAAGCGAGTGGAAGATATAACCCAAGAGGCTTTTGTCCCAGGATGGGAGAATGTGTTCCATTTCTGTGAGGTGTACCAAAGGGTTAAAGTCATTTTCATTAAAATTTAAATTTCAGCAGGCGCTCACTCTCCCTTCCCGTCCTTTGAACGTATGACTGGCAACCATTTCATATTTCAATCTCGGCAGAACAAATTGAATTAGATGTTGAAATCAAGCTCGGCTCTGTTCACCAAAGCCTGCATGCTCCGCTCACGATAATCCCTTCCCAGACGCTGTGAAGCACAGACGGCCGCTGTGAGAGACCAGTCCTGCCACAAAAGACAAAAAAGACCAAGGAGGCGGTAAAAGGAGAGGAAAAACACGTGGATAAAGGCCTGTGGAACTGTCTTCCACCTGACTCGTGGGTCTTAAAAGCCTGGGAGACAGAGCGCGTGTCCACTTAGGAGGGAACGTCCACAGGGAGTGTCCTGGGTTTCTGTTGTACCCGGAGAGCCCAGCAGTGCCCGCACTCAGGGGCTGCTGGGCTGGCGTCTGATGAATTAGTGAAAGAGGGTGAGCACCTTCTGCAGCCTCTGCTTCCAGCCCTCCCTCTTCTCCTCTCTGCAGAGTGGCAGGGACTGTTCTTCTCATCCATGCACCTTTCCGAGAAGGAACAGGATGCCTGGCGCCCTCCCAGAGCCAAGGAGCTTATGTTGGAGCCCGAGCTCACTAGTCTTTTGGTCCTCTAGTCCTGTCCCAGCTCGAGTTTTTGGAGGGAAGGCATAGACTGCCAGGCCTTGCCTGGGATCTCACTGGCACCCTGGGGTCACCTTGTGCCCTCTGGCTCTGTCTTTAAACTGTGAACATCTGTGCACTGGTCTAGAGGCACTGAGCCCTGGGTCCCTGCATCTAACTTTCTGAAGAGACGGTTTTGCCATTGTGCCCATGGAGTCCCTGACCACAGAACTCCCAGCTGAAAAGAGTTAGGAACAGACACAGGAGTGCCAGGAAAGCCACTCCTGGGAGAGGGCTTGCCTGCTTCCCAACCACCACTGCCCCATCTGGGGTTGGGCTTTGACTCCACCATGCAGGGAATGGCCAGGTGTGCAGTGTGCCTGGTCTGCTGCTCTGGGGCTGGTGGGACACCTGCTCCGGGCCCAGTCCTTCATCCACGGGTCTCCAATGTGACCCATCCCAGCCAGCTGGCCTGGATGTGGCCCCACAATCTTATTTTGTGGAGCAGTCATGTTCATAACAAAGGTGACAACTACTAGTTCCCGAGCATTCACTAGGCATGACACAGCCTGCTACCTGCTTTCTATCCATGATCTTGTATTTATTCCTTAACAAATCCACTGTACCCACTTGAGGGATATGGAACACAAGGCTCAGAGATGCTGAGACCTTAGAGATTCCCACCCAGGCCTTTAGAATCCAGGCCTGTGCCTCTGCACCCCTCCCCTCACTGTTAGTTACCACTGTCTCCTTTTATGGCCCTGACCACCAGGCTGTGTGTATCCTACAGCAGAGAAGCCAGGACCCTCCTCACCCACCCCGGGTGGACCATGGAGATTCCACCTGGGACACAGGTAAGGAGGCGTGCCCTGGCTTTACTCTTCTGCCAGCCCCCTAGATGCCTTTGGGTGCCCATCACTGGCCACACCTGAATACAGGCCTGTTGGCAAGGGAGGCTGAAATAAGGATGCAGCCCATAGGGGCCAGGCCCCTGTGACCTGCAGAAGGTGGGAAGGAATGTGAGGACAGCAGGTATGGGTCCAGCCCCCAGTGATGGAAACAGTCTGTCCCAGTTCTCCCCCTGCTAACCAAGCCCCACTGCTGAGCACCCCAACACATCCCTGCCCTTCCAAGGCATGTGTCCCTGCTGGCCTCCTGCCATTGCTGTGGTCCCTTGGGCCTCTCCTCTCAGCACGTGTTCAGGTCCAGCCTCCATCACCTTTCTCCTCCTGGCTCTCTTCCAACCATGTGGAGGTCACAAGCTCCTCTCAGAAATGGATGAGCCTGTCTCCTGCCCCCACACTAGCCCCTGCAGGTCAGGAGGCTCCTGGTGGAGCCCGGGTGGTGCTCCTTCCTCAGCTGCGATCTCCTGTTTTGTCTGGAGCTTCTCTCCTTGATCATCTGGTGCCTGGGGCTATTGATGCCCCAGTGACCCTTCAAACTCTGCCAAAGCCCCCTTCCAGGAAGCACCTCTGTGGCCTACTTCCGGTGATAACACTGACTCGGCTCCCCTGGAGGAAAGGCACACGCCCAATTCACTCTGCACGTCCTGGAAGGTGTCCTCAATGCTGCCACTGTCCCTCTCCTCCAGAGGAGGAAAAGATGAAGCCTGGGGCCAGGCTAGCTACTCTCTACTTACCTAGCTGCCCTCTACTGCCTTCCAGAACCACGGTAATTATGATAAAAATTCTAACAGCTTTTGTAGTTTCTGTTTGAAGTGATTATTTTCAAGGACTCTGGGTCACTGAGATCCTTGTTCAAACTCTGGGCTGTCCCTTGTATTGAGTGCCACGACTGGCAGATATAGCGTTGGGCGTGGGCATGGAACTGAGCCTGGCTACTGCAGGTGAACTGGTCATGGGACTGTCTCTTCTCAGTGAGGAAGTAAAATTTAAACCAAGGGGAAAGAGGGAGCCTAACTAAAGAAATGCATGGGAAGGGCAGCCTAGGCAGAGAAGCAGCAAAGGCTCAGGCCTTGGGTGTGGCTTGCTGGGGGTGTGGCCACGGCGCAGCACAGGAGGGCAAGTGCAGGGGTGGGTAGGCAAGGCCCCGTGCAAGTGCAGGGGTGGGTAGGCAAGGCCCCGTGCACTGTCACGTCCAGCCAAGTCACACTGGCTGCACATGGAGAGGGAGTGCTTCAGGGGTGAGCAGGGAAGAGAAGGACAAGAGGGGACTCTACAGTGAGTGTGGCATGAAGGCAGATGACCTAGCACACCAAGATCTCTGTAGGAGTGAAGTGAGAATTCCTGTCTGTCCCTTCCAGACAGTGAGCTAACACCCAAGGCAGAGCAGGGAGAGAGGGAATAAGGGACATGGCTGATTCAGGGTGGGCCTGGCGAGTGGCTGGAAGCCCTCCCTCCCCTCTCTACCTCCCCGTGCCCCTGGTTCATCTGCTTTATTTTTGGACACACAGAAGACCATGAAGCACAAAGGATAAAGACCAGGTCTCCAGGGTCAGACGGACATGACTCATGTCACTCCCACTGTGACCTTGAGCAGGTGCCAGAAGCTCTCTGGGCCTAACTATACTTCTGCTATCTGTGTCATCCCATTTTAAAATGGGGAGACTGAACACTCCGCAGGCAAGTCACCTGCCACAGCTCAGGAGGCTTCACGTGGTGGAGTGTTATGGAGCCCGGGCTGGTCTGAGTGCAGAGCCTGAGCTCAGTGCTCTGGCACAAAATCCTGCTCTGGGGGAAGCTCTAGTGACATCATCCTGGTCAGTGAGGTTAGGGCCACATGACACCTGCCATCTGTACCAGGCCCACAACTTATTTTTGGTGCTCGCCAGGCCATGCCCCTGGCTCCGGTGGTGTGGAGATGGGAGCACAACGCTGTCTAGACCAAAGGCAGAGGAGCCACATGCCCCTAAACAGGATGAGCAGTGGGAAGGACCAGAGTAGGTCCTGGGCCCTGCCATTCCCAGAGACACATGGTGACTTGGGAGCCTGGTCACCCAAGGGTCTGGCCCGGTGTGGTTTAACACTGACCTTAGCATACAGCCCCCAACCCCTAGAAGGCTGTGGTCAATGTGACATCTGTAAGATACCCCACTATAAAAGTTGGGGCATGAGCCATTCTGGTTTTTTTCTTTTATTTCCATTAATCCTCAGGGATGAGCCAGGGTTGTTAAGGGGGTGTCAGTCTTATAGGACACTGGGGTCATGCTGAGCCTCAAGGGGCTGCCAGTACCTTGAAGCCCTCCTTGGGTTCCAGGCCACTGCAAAAACCAGATGAAGATTAGAACCTCATGCCTGGAAAAATGTACAGACCAGATTTTGGTACAAAGTCAAGAGATTCTTGGACTCTGGCTCAGGGTCCCACCCTGCAATCCCAAATGAAGTGAACAGTGCTGGTGAGGATCTTCTAAGCGTTACTTGGATGGCCTTACTTAATTCCAGCACCATCTATCTGAGGTAGGCGTAATTAACAGCCCCATTTCACAGAAAGAAAAACTGAGGCCACAGAGTTGGGAACAGTCACACCTGAATTCAGATTAAGGTCAGATGTACTTTGGTTCTGCTCTTTCCTCCACACCTTGCCCCTGGCTGGTGCTGGTGCAGCCCTTTCCATGGGAGGCTGCACCTCGGGGGCGCTGCTTGTCAGGGCCCATTTCATCAGTGAGGGTGCTTGATTTTTCTTCATGAGCTGTTGGACCATTCCCTGGGATGCTAAACCAGGGCTGACAGTTCTGAGGGGCGAGGCAAACTCCAGGCTTTGAACAGTCCCTTGGACAGATGCAGATGGGAATTCTGGCTCAGCAGCCCTGGAAGAAGAGCAGAAATGGAGGCTTTATGCTCAGCACCATGCCTGGTGCTTGTCATGGATTATTGTGTTTATTTCTCACTAAAACCTTATGAGGTGGGAACCAGTTATCTAGGAGGAGGCTGGGCCCAAGGAGATTAGGTAACCCTAAGTGTGCGCTAAGTGGAGCAGGGTTTCAGGTCTGGAAGCCAACTCCAGAGAGTGGGCCCTCACCCCAGATGCTGCACTGCTCCTGGACAGGCAGGGGGTACCAGGTTCCTCGAGTCCTTGTACGGCTCTCAGGGTCACTGGGAGGAGGAGCATATCAGGGACCTCATGCAGGAGGGACACACACCCAGGCTTGAGGTGAGCCAGTCCTCACTGCCCTGGGGAACTTCCCACTGTGGCTGGACCCTGACCTACCTCTTGGGCCCTTCTGTGCCTGGCACAGAGCAGGAGGCCAGTCAGTGCCTATCAGGACGGTCCCCGGGACTCACTGTCCCTCTGACCTTGGACCATGGAGGGCATGATGCCCGCTGTCCCCCACCCCCACCCCACATGATGGGGAGTGCAGAAGCCAGAACGGCTGCCCCAGTCCCCAGGGCCCTGGAGCCACATACCCTCGCGGTGCCAGCTCACAGCTGAAGGGTTTGCTCCTCGCTGTCGTTTTCACTGTCTTCCAGCTGCTCCAGGATCTCGTCCAACACCACAGATCGCTTTTTCTTCGGGGGCTCTGTGGGAGCCCAGATGGCAAAAGAGGAGAAAAGAACAGCCGAGAGGGTTGGGAGGCAGGAGAGAAGAGTAGCAGGGAGGGAGACGGGGAGGGGCGAGCAAAAGGGGGGACAGGGGCAGACAGAGGGAAGTGAAAATGGAAGAGAGGGACATGTGGGAGGGGGACACAGAAGGGACAAAAGTGAGGAAGGAAGAGAGAAGGAGAGAGAAGAGGAGGACAAGAGAGGGATACTGGGGTTAGGCTCCAGCTTTACCAGGGGGTAGTGCCTCTCTTGCAGCCTCAGAAACGTCCCTGCTTGCCTGGTTATCTATCCTCTTCCCCACACTCCCTTTAAAGGGAGGGTCAGAGGCCTTGTGTTTGAGCTGTCTCCTCCCAGCAGGTCAGAGGTTGGCTTGTGTGTGTGTGGGGAGATGCGGGGTGGGGGGGGCTGAAAACCTTCTGAGAAGCTGAGCCATGCACTGGGCAACAGTCAGGGAAACAACTGGGAACAGGCTTTATTGGCTCAGAGGTCACAGACTCTCATGCTGGAGCAAGTGGCTGGCATATAGTAGGTGCTCAATAAATGGTAGCTGGTTAATACCACAGATGCAGAGCTCAAGGATCTAGGGGAGGCAAGGAAGGAACAGCACTTAAGAGTTGGCTTTGCAGAAGAATTTTCTGTGAAGAAAAGGGGATTCACCAGCCTGGGCCCACCTAACAACAATGATGGCTGAAACCAAAAAATAGGCAGGCGTTGTGGCGGGCGCCTGTAGTCCCAGCTACTTGGGAGGCGGAGGCGAGAGAATTGCTTGAGCCCAGGAGTTTGGAAGTTGCTGTGAGCTGTGATGCCACTGCACTCTACCCAGGGTGACAGCTTGAGGCTCTGTCTCAAAAAAAAAAGTGGGAGATTCAGTGGGGCGGCGCCTGTGGCTCAAAGGAGTAGGGCGCTGGCCCCATATACCAGAGGTGGTGGGTTCAAACCCAGCCCCAGCCAAAAAAAAAAAAAAAAGAAAAAGAAAGGGGATTCAGTGGTACAGCACAAGGAAAGTGTAGAAGTATGAAAGCCTACTAAGTGCTACAGCTCTGCTCTTCTCAATAACCTCACAGGGAAGTACTGCACTGCCCTTACCAGTGAGGAAACTGGGGCACATGTAGGCAGGTCTAAGGACACTCAGCTAGGAAGTGGTAGAGCCAGGATTCAAACTCAAGTTACATCTAAGCCTATGGTCTTTCTGCTTTTCATCAAAGTCTCTGGTGCTGGCCAGAGAATGCCAAGGAGACCAGTGGTAGCAGGAAGATGTGCTGGTCTCCCTGGCCCTTCAGGAAGAGAATGGGGCTCTGGGGCTAGGGGGGCTGCGCCTCGGGCTGGTCTGCCTCGGTGCTCCCTCTCCTAGTCTAACTACTCATCAACATGCAGTCCACTTATAGGTTAGACCTGATTTGTACACAGATGACATAAAGAAAGCTGTCCAAATGCCTTCCCCTTCTAGGGCTGAAACACCTTCCGGGTGGAATAGTCATCCCCTGGCCATTGGCTTCCCTCTTCCCACAGGGCTGCTGCGTCTCTTCCCCAGGCCCTGCATAGTGCTGGCCTAGAGATGAAAACTCTCGGCTTCCTTCTGGGTGGTCTTTGGCAAGTGATTTGACACCCTGGGCCTATCTCTTCATCTCATCCTTCCCAAACTGATCTGGACACTGACCTTTTCTCATCTCCATGACTGTGCCTTGATCCAAGCACTTCTCACCTTCTCACTGGATTCCCTGCTCCCTGAGGGCCTCCTCTAAAACATGTATCAGGTCCCATCACCCCAAGTGCTCGGAGGCAATCCTGGAGTGGACCAATGCTCCCCCGTAAAACCCTCACACCTGCAGAACCCGGATGCCTCCTCACATCCCAGCGCTGGTGCCCCCACCCCTGCTCTGCCCCATAGTGCTTCTCATCGCCAACAATACAGCAGGCATTTCTTTGTTTGGGATGTTGTCCTGCTCACTGCTGCGCCCCTGGCCTTAGCACACTGCCTGGCACCTAGAGGGTGGCTCGGGAAATGCCCCAGAATGGGGAATGAGCGAAGGAAGTGTGGAGGCGCCTGGCCGCCCGTGGGAGGCTCAAGGCCTGGCAGCTGTGCCCATCATTGTTAATCATGAAAGAGAGACAGGCATGGGGCGGGCTGGGTGGGGGGGCTGGCAGCCTGGGGCGCAGACGCCGCTTCCTTTCCCTCCTCACTCCCTCCTTGAGGCTCTCGGTTTCCTTATAATCGCCAAGCTCCAGAGGTGCACAATGGCCTCTGGAAATTGAATTTGCGGGCAGGTAATAGGAGCTGGGAAATAGAAGTGCAGCAAAATAGGGCCTGTGGACCTGTCACTGATGCCCCCTCCCATGTATTCCCACGGGGCGGCGTCCCTGTTTTCCCAGGCAGGGCCAGCCTGGTGTCCAAGGGGTGGTTAGCAGTGGCAGCAGTGAGAACACAACTTTGAGATGCTGACAAGGGGGGAGTTTTATCCCCGTCCATCACATTGGCTCAACCTTTAAAACAGACCCGGATTCAAAGCACTTCTTTCTCCAGACACTGCTCCCTGACTGCCCAGACATTCTCTCTGGCTTCCTCTGTCCCCGCTTGCAGAGGCTGGTCTTGAGTGGCAGCCAGAGGGATCTTGTAAAAACCTCCAGCAGAACACATGGCCCCTTTGCCCAAACCCTCCCCTAATAGGTGCCCTCTTACTGGGGAAAAGCTAAATAAAGCCTGTTGCTTCCCCAAGTTTCCTTCCCCAACTCTATTCCTGGCTACCCACTCCTACCTCAGGCCCTGTGCGCAGGCTGGTCTTGAACTCCTGGTCTCAAGCCATCCTCCCTCCTCGGCTCCTGAAGTGCTGGGATTACAGGTGTGAGACACTGTGCATAGCTGTTCGCAGGTATTCACTTTCTTATCTACCCCCTCACTGGAATGCGAGTTCTGGGAGGGTAAGGGTTTTGGCCTATTTTGTCCACTGCCCTTTCCCTGTGCCCAGAATAGCACCCGGCACACAGCAGATGCTCAGTAAACATGTGGACTGACAGAATGAATGACAGGGCAACAGGGTCAAGGAGAAGAAACTGCTAATGGACAAACAACAGAGAGGGGCCAAAGCAGCCCCAACAGCCTTCCTTGTGTCCTCATTCTTGCACACGACAACAATGGATGGAAGCTGGACACTGGGAACAAGACTGGCTCTGCCCCCTCCAAGGGCTTCTGAGCCGGCAAGTGGTAAACAGAAGGAAAAAGATAGCTGTGCCTCAGTTTCCTTATCTGTAAAATGGGGATACAAGGGGTTATGGTGAGGCTTCATAAATGAAGAGAGCAATGCCTGTCCCCCAGTTAGGGCTCAGCTGATGGTGCTGAGACCGACACCTGTACCAATATTACTGATATGAAAGGCAGTGATTTCATGTCTTTTTGCCATTAGAGCAGTAAAGGCCTACAAGATGACAACTCTCATATATATGAAGGTTGATATATATAGGTGACCAACAAGTAGTTGTTAGGTAGGTAAATGAATGAAACATCTTGGTTCCTCAAGGCCACAGGGGGCATGATCTGCCTGCTTCCCTGGTAGGTTGGAAAATGGAGGCACGGGGACACCCCTGTGGGCAAGGGACATGAAAGGCATGCTGATAACAGCTAACTGGTTGTAGAAGCCACACGATCTGAGGTTCCAGCTTGGCCAACAATGGCTGAGTGACTGTGGGCAAGTCACTCTGGCTCCCTGGGCCTCAGTTTCCTATCTGTAGAGTGGGGCTTAAAAACATGACTGTTTTCCTATCTGTAGAGTGGGGCTGCTGTGAACATTAACTAGTTCACAGGTGGGGCCTGGTACCCCGAAGGGCCCACGACCTAGGACCTAAAGCGGCTGGCTCAGGTCCACTGCCAGGGTTCAGGCTGGGCCCCCCACTGCTTCCCCTAAGGACACTGTAGGGCCCTGACTTCCCACCAAACAACACCCGGCACCCCCCGCAGGCCCAGTTTCCACACAGAGCACCCTGCTCGCAGGGAACAGCTGCTGAAATCCCACTTCCCCGACATCAAAAGCCTCAGTGGGTTTTCACCAAACAAACATAATGCAGAACCGGAGAAAGGTGTAAAATAAATAAACGAAACAAGCTGTGCATTTTCTTTCAGTATTACAGCTGCACCCGAAGATAAACAACAAGTGAATGTCACCAAACATCAATACCCAAGAAATTAACTTGACAAAAAGCTCAGCCGTCCCCCAACAACCCCCCAGTCCTGCCCCCCCCCCACCTCCAACCACCATTTTTGCATTTCTGGAGTTCCCACCTAATGATTTTATTTTTCAATTAATTCCTTGACAGAATGCCAGCCTGCGTCTCTCCCTTCCCTGGCTGGCGCTGTCGCCCTGTGTGGAAGGCACAGGCAGGCGGAGAGAAAGGCGCGGGCGGGGGCAGGGGGGCTGACAGGAGGACAAGAGAAAGCACTTCATGGGGTTTTGTTTCGGAGGCAGAACGTTGAGGAAAGGCAAGCTGGGGAGAAGACGTGGCTGATCAGGGGGAGAAGGGAGCTCTAAAAGGAGTCCTGAGAAGAGGAAGGCATGAGTGGGGAGGCGGGGTGGCAGGGAGAAGAGAGCTGGGCCGGAAGCCCCTGGCTGGGTGCTGGGTAGACAGGTGCGAGGTGCGAGGCGCAGAGCACGGGGCGTGGGTGCAGGCTGCAGCCTAGCTGCCAGGACCAATCCCTGCTGCTCCTGGCCAGGCAGTCTCAGGTAAGTTGTGTCACCTCTCTGGGCTTAGCTCCAGCAGTTGCTGAAATCTACATGCTCACTACTCAGGGTACTTAGAAGAATGACTCTAAGCAAGGTCTTCACAACAGTGGATGGCAGGCACACAGTATAGGTCAGCTGTTCTTACCACTATCATGGAACCTGTCCCTAAGAGCACCAGGCGGATGCTTCCCTCATCTACAACACAGGGACAGCAATACCAGCCCCAGAAGAACACAGTAGCTGCTGTTGGCACCCCCACCTTGAGCAGA